AATTTTTACGTTAATTATATATAAATTGAGAGTGCACGACTTCAAACCAACCGAAAGGCTAAAAAAAAAAAAATTCAATCGATTAATAAAATTTTATTTTAACTCATGTGAATAAAAATAAAAAAAGTTCAAACGTATCGTTTTTTTTTTTTTTTTATGTTTTTTCTACATAAATTTTTAAAAATAAAATTTCAAAAGGTTTTTCATTATATAAAATCATTTGGGTAAAAAAAAAAAAAAAAAAAACGTAAAAATTCTTTTTGGGGCTGTTTTTTTTTTGTTTAACGTTCTTTTAATTTTCCCTTTTTTTCCGACCCCTTCTTTTATAATTAAAACCCTCACACACAACTTTAAAATTTAAATTTTTATTTAAAAACGAAAAACTCCTGGTCAAATCCGTTAAATAATTAATCATTAATAAACAAATACTAATAATAATAATAATAATAACAATAATAATAATTTTTTTATTTAAAAAAGGAAGAAAATCTAAGGAAAATGAAAATTAAATTTTTCAATCCTTTAACCAAATCGAAAATCAAAAAATTTTCCAACATTGAAAATCATTCGTGGAAAAATTCGTTAATAAAAGAATTGAAAAATTATTATTATTATTATTATTATTTTTATAAGATTTTCATTTTAATTCTTTTGTGTAACAGAAAGAGAAAGAAAAAAAAGAAAAAAAAAAAAAAAGGAAAACAAAACTGTTTTCTTCCATTTATTCTATCGTCGATTATTTTAATAATAATAATGATAATAATAATAATAACATCGTTTAGTTTATATATTTATCTTATGATTATAGGCCACATTATATATATAGATAACACGAGAATCATCGAACCTCATCTGGTTTTAAAAACGAGTTAATGAAAGTTTTCTTTGTATTGAGAGAAAATGTAAGTTACGACGGTTTTTCATGCAATATCAACTTTTGATTAAGTTACCACGTCAAAGAAAATTATTTTATATAAGGTTGCACCAACAGTTATTATTATTATTATTATTATTTACCCCACCCCCCACCCGAACGGAGTGCGGATTTTCTTTATCGAAATTAAATTATTATTATTATTTTCCATTTTTTTTTTTTTTAATCGCGAATAGAACAGTAACACATTTTGAATCTTCTTGATTTTTACATGGAAATTTTGTTTATATTTCCTGAACTGAACTTGGGATAATTTCTGGAGCAACAGGATAAGCAGGAATTATTACAATAATTATAATGATTAGATTCAACTTACCGTTGATGAAAATTATAGTCGGTCGACGTAACTAAAATGTTGTTCTTGTTGTTGTTGTTGTTGTTGTTCTGGTTCCACGTCGTTTTGTCCTAAAATTAAAATTAAAAAAAAAATTATGAATGAATTTTTGGGAAAAATAATAATAAACAATTTTTATTAAAAATCGTTTTAAATTTTTCTACGAACGGAAAATTATTTAAAAAATTTTTAAAAAAAATTTTTAATGACGTTTCCTTATTAAATAAAATTTTCCTTAATCTATGACGTTGCTAATTAATTTGTGACCATCTTTTCTCATTTTAAAAAATTTTTGCTCACTTTCAGTTTAACTTTAGAAAGAAAATTCTACATTTTTTTTGTTTCCTCATTTTCTTTAAAAGAAAATTTAATATATTCATTTCATTAAATATCTTTTTGATTGGATTTTCCCGGGGGGAGGGTCGGATACTCCCACTTTGCTTGCTTGATTCTCTCTTCGTTTTTCCTTAAGAAAATTTTTTAAACGGGTACCCGATAAAAACATATTAAAACGATTAAACAAAATTTTTATTATTATTATTACTATTATTATTATGGTAAAAGTAAAAATAAATTACTCGAAAAAAAAAAAAAGAGAAAAAAAAATTTTTTCCCTCGTAAAAATTATTATTAATTTTTTTTTTATACATTTTTACTTTTTATAGAACAAAATATTGTAGTGGGGAAGAAGGAGAAAAGAGATGTAAAGAAAAAGGACAAAAAATGACAAAATAAACAACCGGGGATTTTGAATAAGAATAAAAAAGAAATTTTTCAATGATTAAATTCCTTTTTTTTTTTTTTTTTTAATTAAAATGAATGTTTAGTTACAGGTTATAAAAAAAAAAAAAAAACCTGGCTGGAAAAAAAAACTTTTTTTTTTTTTTTTGTTGCTGTTGTTTGAATTTTACTCTCTTCGTTCTCATTTATTATTAACAGATTCATTGGAGAAATAAAGAAAAAAAAAAAAAAGAGGAAAATGAAAGGCTGACTGTTATACCCGTCGGAAAATTTTTTTTTTTTTTTTTTAAAATAAAAAAAAAAAAAATTTTAATCAAAACATTTTATGTATATTCACTCATAAATCGTTTTAAACCGATATCCGCGCGCGTGTGTGTCTGTGCGTGTGCGTGTGTATGCGCCCGTGTATACGAATGTGAATATAAAAATTAATTAATTCGCTTCAATTCGTATACATCATTCTTTTCTTTATTCTTCCCCATTTTTTTTTTTTTTATATAAAAAAAATTTAAAAAAATTTTTTCTGTAAGAAAATTCAAAAAAAAAACTTTTTTGGAAAAAAAAAAAAAAAAAAAAAAAAAAAAAAAAAAAAAAAAAAAAAAAAAAAAAAAAAAAATATAAAAGCCAACGGCACGTGGTGTTCCCAAGCGGTCACCCATCCAAGTACTAACCACGCCCGATGCTGCTTAACTTCGGTGATCGGACGAGAACCGGTGTGTTCAGCATGGTATGGCCGTTGACGATCACTGTCGCGATAACTTGTTATGTTAAATCATATATAGCAATACAACGTATTTCGTGTTTGTGTTGTTTTACGCATTGTTTGTGTTACAGATGTACATAAAATATCTTTTAATAAATTAATTATTAAAATTAGATACTTAACACTAAGTTTAAATAGTAATAATAGCCTAAACACAACATACATTACATTAATGTAAACGGCTTAAGAAAACAAAATATCAAACAACTCGACGTCAACGGCCATACCATGCTGAACACACCGGTTCTCGTCCGATCACCGAAGTTAAGCAGCATCGGGCGTGGTTAGTACTTGGATGGGTGACCGCTTGGGAACACCACGTGCCGTTGGCTTCCCATATTTTTTTTTTTTCCATCTTTATTAATTTTTTTTAATAAAAATTGTTTTGTCTTAAAGCCAACATCGCGTAATGATCCCAAGCGGTACCATATAAGTATCCAACTCTGTGCAACTTTTACCTATATTATTATTATTAAAATAAAGAATTATAAAAACAAGATTTCATTTTAAAATTATATTCTCGGTTTTTTGTTAAAATCTCTTCCGTAAATATTAAATGAAAAAAAAAATAAATAAATAATAATAATCGATTGGTTGGTTCATTTCATTACATCATGTCGTTAATTACGGAAAAGTGCTGGATGAATGAATGTTTAAGGGGGAGGAGGGGGTTTTGTTGATTAATTTCTTGACAATCCTCTCTCTCTCTCTCCCCTACCACCACGATTCCCATTTATATCCCTCTATTTCTCTATCTCTTTAGATTATTCATTCTTCTTTTTCCGTTGATTCTTTTCAAAAGAGTTCAAATTAATACGGAGGGGGTTTTTACATGGTAAAGGAATAAGAACAGACGGCGTATTATTTTACTTTTTTTAAAATAAATATTGTTTTATATTTAAACAACTCAATTCAATATCTTTAAATTTTATATGTAAAATGATTAAAAGAGGTGTGTCTGTCTGCTGCTTTCGAATTTTCTACTTTTTTTTTTTTTTTTGCTTTTATTCATTCAGATTCTTTTTTTTTATTTTATTTCCCCCTTTTTTTTTAATCTTTTGAATTTTTTCTTACCCCTGTTGGTTTTACCAGTTTTTATAAAAACAAATCAAAGAAAAATCATTTTTATTATATTAAAGTCGTTTGTTTAAGTTGTTGTTGTTGTTGTTGTTAACGGTCATATTAAAAAAAAAATAATTAATTTAATTGAAATGTGAAGATGATGATCACATTAAAGTCTTACCACAAATTAAATTTAAAATCATGTTTAGCTTTATGTTATTAAATTTTGAAACGTTTTAATTTAAATTATAACCGTCTGAACAAATTTATATTGAATACTATTATTTTAATAAATAATAAAAAATTTCACGTACCTGTCGATGTTTTATTCCAGGTTTCTACTCGATTCCTTTGGGATAAATCGAGGAAGATAATTAAGATGAGATTTAGCGAAGAATATGGACCATCACATCCCACACAACTGTACGATTTCCTCTTCTTTTTTTTTCGTTAAAGTTGCTTTATAATGATCTCGTGACAATCACTTCCGTTTCCACATCCTGAATAGTTTCCATCTCCAATCACATCAACATTGTTGTTTCCGCCGGTACCCTTAAAAGTACACATTTAGAATAACTTCCGGTTTCTTCGGTTTGCACATCGTCGCCATTAAAATATTTTTTACAGACCTGTAAATTTTTATTATTATTATTATTATTATTATTAAAATTTTTACAATGTTTAAATAAATAAATAAATAAACTTAATAATATTAAAATAATGATGATGATGATGATGACGTCGATGATAATAATAATAATGATAATTTTTTTTTTTTTTTTTTTTAATTAAATGCGAAAAATGAATTTTTAATAAAATAAAATAAAATAAAATAAAATAAATAAATAGAAAAAAGGAAGAGGAAAAGGAAGAAAGGAAAAATCTGATTGGTTTACCATTTACACCCTCTAAGAAAATCTGAATAAGGGATGAAATTAAAAGGCGGGGTTTAACGAATAAACTAAAACCATGAGGTTTATAAAATATATTTTTCGAATTCTTTATTCAAACTTTTACATCCAATCCATTGAGATCAAATCGGGATGAACTAAAAAAAAAAAATTATTTATTTATTTTTTGTTGTAATTGTTTAAATAAATAAGTTGAAAAATAAAATGGCTGGATCTTATATATCACCATCACCAGGTGATATACTATCGGAATATATGTTCGGAAGAAGAAGGCAGGTAAATGCGAATGTTTTTTTTTCTTTTTTTGTTTTATTATTATTATTATTACCGAGGGGGTTAAAAAAAAAAAAAAAAAATTTTTTTTTAATTTTTAAAACAGAGAAGAAACAGGACGACATTTACGACGCAACAATTACAAGAATTGGAATCAGTTTTTCAAAAAAATCATTATCCAGATGTATTCGTACGTGAAGAAATAGCATTAAGAATAAATTTATCGGAATCTCGTGTACAGGTTAATTTTTTTTTACAACAAATTTATTATTATTATTATTATTATTAAAAATAAAAAAAATGGTATGGTTTCGACATTTTCTTTCCCCCCGTTTTTTTTTTAGGTTTGGTTTCAGAACAGGAGAGCAAAATGGAGAAAACAAGCACGTTTTCAACTTTTACAAGATGCCTGGAGAATGAGATGTTTGGGTATCAATAGTGGACCATCGGTACTTTTATCTGTTAATAACGGTAAATATTATCATTTAATAATAATAATAATAATAATAATAATAATAAATAATTTTTTTGTTCCGATCGACGCGTAATCAATCCGTAAAAAAAAAAAAAAAATTTTCCATATTTCCAATATTTATTAAATAAAAATTCCAGAAAGAGGTACCGTACCAGGAGAATCAGGATCGGATGGAGAATCCAAACAAGAGAATAAAAATTCAAAAATTTTCATACCTAACGAAAAACCTAACGAAAATTTAAACAAAACGAAAGATTTATTATTGCATCAAGGGTAAATTTTTATTATTATTATTTTTAGAATGCAAAAATAATTCTTTTTTTTTTTTTTGGAAAATTCCAAAATAAAAAAAACTTTTCCTTTTTCCTAGTTTTTATTTAAAAGAAAATGAAAATCGTTTTAACGTCGATGATGATAATTATCAATCGATACAATCGACAAAAACGGAATCGAAATCTCCAGATCTTCGATCTTCCAGTCCGGATAACAATACTTTGGATTTAAGTAATAAGGATAAAATTCACGATATGTCGTTGCATAGGAGACACGTCGATTCTTAAAATAATTATTATCATTATTATTATTATTATTATTATTATTAATATTACCGAACGATATTATTGATAATAATTAGTACATTCAATACCCGAAGCTTGCATTTATAAATGCTTATCAAACCACCTATTTATTTATTTATTTTTCCTTATCAATAAATCCTTTTAATTATTATCATTATTATTATTATTAATAAGTGAACTTTTAGCATAGTTGATTGTACCTGAAATGTAAATTTAATTTTCTTAAATATATTACATTACACCTGGAAAAAAAACAAAAATCGTTAATTTTTTGAAAAACCTGAAACTTAAATAAAAGAGAATGAAAATGATGACGTCACGGAACGATTTAAAATTAATTTTTTTTCTCATCCGAAATTTTAATAAAATATTTGAAGACGTGAATCGTCTCGTAACCGGTTATCATAGTTTTTTTTTAAATATGGCTTCCGTGACGTCATTTCCCTTCCATTTTTAATAATTAATTAAAAAATAAATTAATCGATACAAACTCGTTTGAAAATTAAAAAAAAAAATTTAAATTTCGACGTAAAAAAAAAAATTGTTGATACCTGAAAATATAAGAGAAAAATGATTTTAAAAACAACAACAACAACAACAACATAAAACACGATTTTCCATGTTTGTATTGTTTAAAATGTTTTTTAATTGTTTATAAAAATGGATTTACCACCTAGAAAGATATTTAAATAATTAATAATAATAATAATAATAATAATTTATTTTCGGATGGTATTTAATAAAAAAAAAAAATTGTCGTTTGCACACGTTGTACTGTTTGTTGTATTTACGCTACTGTTTGTTGTTAGGAGATCTAATTTAAATTATGTATGTCCCGTAATAATTTCAATGTCATAAATTTTAATGTGAAAAAAAATTCAAACATTTTGTGTTTTGTTAAAATTTTAGGCGCGTTTGCGCGTTTCATTATTATCGTAAAAAAAAAAAAATAAATAAATAAGTTTTAATTGTTTTTTTTTTTTTTTTGGGTGTGTGCGTGGGAATTTAAATCGATTTAATAAAATTTTAAAATTTAAAATAATAATAATAATAATTAGGATTAGGGTCGTTGACCCTTTTTTTTTGTTTCCATTTAAATTCAAAATCACCCGTTTCGATTTCCATGTTTGGATGATGATGATGATGATAATAATAACGAGTATGGCGATTCGTGTTTTTGTTGTTTCTTAACTTGATTCACGTTGTGTTAACCCTACGTTACCTCACCATTATTATTATTATTATTAATTATTTTAATTTTAATTTAAATTATTATTAAATTAATTAAGGTTAAATTGAAATTTTTTTTTGGGGTTTTTTACCGGGAAAAAAAAAAGTGAAATCGTGTCGTTGTTTTGTTTTGTTGGAAAAATTACGCAACACGTCACAGGAATATTTGAAAAAAAAAATAGGGAAAAAACAAAAAAAAATTTTTTTTTCAGTTAGTTTTATGAAATCGTTCGTTTGTTTGTTTGTTTGTTCGTTTGTTTTCGTTGTGTGTTATCACGGTGTATTGATAATTTTTTAATTTCTTTGTAATAAATTTATTTAACGTGATTTTAAATTTTTTATTTACGTCACAAGTTTAAAAGTTTTGAGTAATTAAAAAAAATCAACAAACAACTCGCCGATATTTTTTTTTTTTTTCGTTTTCAAGGATCGTACCTTAAATAATTAATAATTAATTTTAGGTACTTACCTTAAAATTAATTAAATCCGTCAACGAAACATAATTCACCATAAATTAATTTACAATAATCACTATAATAATAAACTTTTTTTTTTTTTTTTACCCATTAATAAGTTTTAACGCTAAAAATATTATTAATTAAAATAAATAATGAAAATTTTTTTTGTTAATAAAATAGTTAAATGTGTAAAAATTTAATTAAATAAAACTTACATAAATTTTTATTAAAATAATAATGTTTTAGAAAGAGAAAGAAAGAAAAAAAATTTAAAATTAAAAACATGCACGTGAGTTATTATTATATTTATTTATTAATTATTTTTTACGTAAGAAAAATTGCAACAAACGAATCAATTGAAAGGTAAGAAGATACATAAATAAATAAATAAATAAATAATTTATTATTAATAAGAAATTTTAAATGAATTAATTTTTTCTCTATTAGTTTACAACAGTGGACTTGGTCTTGCGAAAATGAAAATTGCGTTAAAAGTTTATTACCATATTCGAAAAATGGAACGACTTTAGAAATATGTAAATTATTATGTGGAAAATATAGAACGCTATGGCCGAAACCCACGGGTGACTATCAAAGTGACATAATTTAAAAAAAATTCTAAAAAAAAATTTATGTATTTTTTTTTTGATTTTAAAAAACAGGTAAAACTATTCTCGGATCGACATTATTTTCATTTCATCCGAGTAAAATTTTATTCGATTTTAATTATGTCGAAAATTTCACGGCAAAAGAACATTTACGAAAAGTTAGTAAATTATTTCAAAATAAAATGTTTAAATTATGCGGGTCGAATTGTTCTTTTATACCGGATACGGAAATAATTATACATTTTAACGTTATTTCTCCGAATTTGGAATTAAATTGGAAAACCGATGAAAGATACACTTTAGAAATTGATAAAAAAGGTTTTTGTTTTTCTTTACAAATTAATTTTATAATTTTTTAATTTTCGATTTGTGGGTGTGCCTGCCATACTACATTTTATGGTTTTTCTTTTGTAGAAATATCCGAAAATGGAAAAAAACCGGAAATGATTGAAATAAATATTAATTCGACAACGGTTTACGGTTGCCGACACGGTTTGGAAACGATAACTCAATTAACAACTTCTCATTCTTTGAAATATTCAAACGATATGATATTAAAAAGATATTTGGTCATGATTTCCTCAGGTGAAATACACGATGCTCCCGTGTATCCACACAGGGGTCTACTAATTGACACGGCAAGACATTATATGAGTGTTAAATCCATTCGTAAAACTATCGAAGCCATGTCCATGACAAAATTAAATGTATTACATTGGCACGCAACTGATTCGCAAAGTTTTCCCTTAGAAATTTCTAATTTTCCACAGCTAGTTAGGTAAATAATTTTTTTTTAACGGAAAAAAATTTTCCCCCACCCCCATATTTTTTTTTGTTAAACGTTTTGTTGTTTAAGGTACGGCTCATATTCTCCCGAACAAATTTATACAAAAAAAGATATTCGCGGAATCGTAGAATATGCTAAACTCAACGGGATACGAGTTATTATTGAAATAGATGGTCCGGCTCATGCAGGTACTATTCGATTTGAAAATTTTTTTTTTTTTTTTTACTGGAAAAAAAAATATTATTAATTGATTTTAGGTAATGGATGGCAATGGGGAGAACAACACAACCTTGGAAAATTAGCTTTGTGTGTTAATCAACAACCGTGGAGACAATATTGTATACAACCACCTTGCGGACAATTAAATCCTATAAACGAAAACGTTTATAAAATATTAAAAAATATTTATAAAGAATTAATTGAAATTTTACCTGAAAGCGAAACGTTACACTTAGGAGGAGACGAGGTGATGTGAACCTATAATAATAATAATAATAATAATAATATTTAAAAAAATTTTACGAATAAAAAAAATTATTATATTAATTAGGTATTTTTTCAATGTTGGAATTCAAGCTCTGAAGTCTTGGATTGGTTTTCACGTAATTACATGCAAAATGATGAAAAGGGTTTCTTAGATCTTTGGGGTATTTATCAGGAAAAAGTTCTTCAAGCATTTTCAGAAGTTTATCCAACAAAAGATGTACCTGTTATTCTTTGGTCGAGCACTCTAACGGAACCTGAAGTTATAGAAAAATATTTAAATAAAACCAGGTAAATAAATTTTAATTTTTTTTTTAATTATACTAACAAATAATCGAAAAGCCATTAAAAAGAGAGAGAGAGAGAGAGAGAGAGAAAATGTTTCTTCAAATTATTATTATTTTAATCTTAGCTTGAAAATGTGCATTTTTTGCTTATTTTAAAAAATCATTAGGAATATTTTGGTTAAATATTAACAAAAATAAAAAAAAAACATTTTTCTAAAATAAATTTCTACATAAAAAACAAATAAATCTTTAAATATATTCTAAAAAAAAAAATTTTTTTAAACAAAAAATTCACATTGACCATAATAAAAATTACTTAATTTAATAGGAACTTTGATAAATCAGTATTTATGTAACACATTTGTGTTCTGTAAATACTGTTTTTTTTTTTTTTTTTCGTAACTATACATTAATATACTTATGATAGTAATTTATATAAAGCATTAACATGTAAAACATTCATCAAACATAAATAAAAATCTGAACAAACTAATCATTTTCCCTCTTGCATACATTTTTTTTTACATTTTAAAATATGTTCTTTTATCTATATATATTAATTTTTTTTTTTTTTTTATACATGATAAATAATTAGTTTGTTAATAATAATAATGTTTAAAAAATTGGGATTTGAATATGGTAGAATTAATGTTAATAAGTATACTTGTATAAATTATCACAAGACATATTTGAACCTTGAATAATTATGTGGACCTAATCTCGAGTTTATCGTTTTTCCTTTTTTTTTTTTAATGAATTCAAGTTATTATTATTATCAGTTAATAAGTCATTTTTTTTATTTTTGTACTATGAGGTATAATTAACAAGAATTATAAATTCAGATAAAAAAAGGCAATGTGTTATTGCATTGATTAGCTCCATTTTTGTTCTTTTTTTTTTTTTTCTCTCTCGAAATGATGAATTACTAAAAGTTGTTGGAATCGTTTTAATTTTTTATCAGACTGATCAATCTAAATAAATAAATACTGCATAAATCAATTATTTTATAACATATAAAAAAATATTTTTAAAGCAAACTACTGAAGCGCATTACACTGGGTACTACTTAAACCTTTTTTCTTTATTGCCACAGCTACTGCCTCATTTAAAAAATCAACATCGTTAAATTCATAACCGGGACAATTAAAACTTTGGGTAAATGATATATTTTGAAAATCGGATATACTAGAATGTTTTCTTTGTTTACTTTTAGAACAATTATTATCTTCCTCATAATTTATGCTATCTTTCACATTTAATATTTTCGATGAAGGTATTGATGTTGTCGGTTGAGAAAAATGACTACTGTCTATGACACTTTGATTACAATGATTTTCATTAATCTCACTCGTGCAATCGAAAAATGAATCTCTCGGACTTTGATTTTTGCAATTTTTTAAACCGTGTTGTTGTATTGCCATTGAAACAGCTTCATTTTCAAATTCCTCCGGCCCATCAAAATTTTCATCGAGTTCTCTCATTCTTGCTATCATGGCATTTATTTTGTTTTCAGCGCAAACCGAATAAAATCTTTGACGTTCCTCCTCGTCCGATTCATTTTCATCAAGAAAAACATCTTCAAACATTTTAATATATTTCTAAAATCAAAAGCACTTTTTTAACAAAATTAAATTATTTTTATAATCATTGTTTATTATAATAACTTATTAATAATAAAATCATTTTTATCAACTTAAAAAATAAAAAAATTTAACGTTATAAAAATAAATATAACTATTAGATTAATGTTTTCAATCACTTTATAATGTCGTGGTTTTGATTTTACAAGTGGTACCAACTTAAAAATTTTTTTATGATTTTAACAAAATTTTTTTCCGCCATTTTTTTTTTTTTTTGAAAATTGATTCTTACATAACCGAATTAATACGATTTATTTTATATTTTTCGAATGCTATTCTTGTTAAAATACCTTAAATTCTTTCGTAGGTACATCATTCAAACCTGGCTTCCGGCATCAAGTCCAATTCCGACTCAATTATTAAATAAAGGGTATAAACTAATACTTTCGACTAAAGACAAATGGTATTTAGATCATGGTTTCTGGGGTAATACCGTATATCATTCTTGGAAAATAGCTTACGACAATAAACTTCCGAGACACAGTAATGTTTTAGGAGGCGAAGCGGCTATGTGGTCAGAAAAAGTCGACGAACAATCGTTGGATATGAAAGTTTGGCCGAGAACTGCTGCTGTGGGTGAAAGACTTTGGTCAAATCCAAAATGGGGAGCCAATGCAGCAGAGCAAAGATTTGAAAATTTCAGAGAACGACTCGTTAAATTTGATATACGTGCAGACGTTACTTCTCCTTATTATTGCTATCAGAACGATCAAGCTTGTTCCTAAAATTGTAAAACAATTCAAAAAGTTATCGACACATGTTTAAAATAAAATTTCAAATTTTTTAAATATCATTCATAATAATAATAATAATAATAATAATAAAAAGTTAAATTTCAAATTTTACATATCTATATATATATATATATTTTTTTTTAATTATTTAATCAACATAAAATTTCATCCTTTAATGTTATTGGTACCTAAATTTAAAAATAAAATGACAGCAAACTACAATTTTCACTTATCATATATATAAATCAATAAAATTTTATGTAATTTTTATATTATTACAATTTATTTAAACAAAATAAAGAACAGAAAAATTAAAAATTAATAATTAAAATGTATAATTAAATTTTAATAGTCATTTAAAAATTTCTTTTTTTTTTTTTTTTAAAGTCATTTCCTGTTTTAAATTGCACATTGTGACGACAGATGTTGTTTCTCTCTCTCTCTCTCTCTCTCTTACAAAAAAAATTTAAATTAATAATAATAATTTTCTATTTATCTTTTCAATCACCACATTCAATTAATAATAATAATAATAATAATTTCTACCGAAAAAAATTAAAAAAAAACCTTAACAAATTTACAAAAAAAAAACAATTTTCATCATCATCATCATCATCATCATTTACTACTTTCTAATGTATTATCGATAATAATAATAATAATAAAACAACAATCAAGCATTAATTAATTTATTTATTAATTAAATTGTAAATAAAAATTATTAATAATAATAATAACCAAAAAAATAAAAAAATAAAAAATCAATAAAATTTATTATTATTAATTTGTTTTTTCTTTTTTTCTTTATCGATTGATTTTGATCGATTTTACATTTAATGACGAATTTTTTCTCAAATTGTTTTTTTTTTTTTTTTTTTTTTTTTAAATAAAAAGAATATAAAGAGTAAAACGTTTATTAACACTTTTGAAGGGGGGAGGGGGGGGGGGGTTAAAAAAAAAAATATTTTTCACTAAACCACATGCAGTGAGATAGTCTATTTAAAAACAAACAAAAAAAAATTGCATTTTACGTCGAATTTTCCTCCCTTTTTCTATTTTTCCTCCATTTTTTTTTTTCGACTCCCCAAATAACTAATTATCTATCTACAAACCCCAAAAATTTATTTAAAAAAAAAAAAAAAAAAAAAAACAAAAAAAACCCAAATTTTTTAATGATATATCAATCATTACGATACTAAAATAATTAATTTCTTATTAGAAAATTATATATTTTATTAGTTTTTATTATTATTATTATTATTAATTCTTTAACAATTATATATATTTATTTATTTATATATCTTGTACTAATTTTTATTTATTTATTTATTTATTTATTTTATTTACTAATCAATCACTTAGTAAAATAATTAAAAATATAAAATAAATTTTTTTTTCTTTATTTTTAAAATTTATTATTTATTGTGTTATTTATTTAAAATTTATTTATTTATTTATTTATCGTTTCTAATTCTATTTAAAAGCACTTAGAGGCTAATTAATAACACGAATTTTATTAACATTCATATTTATGTATATATTAACGATTGTCAGTAAATTGTTTTAAAAAAAAATTTTTTTTTTTTCCCCATTTTTTTTTTTCTTACGACGACACTCAGTTAAGAGAAAATTTTTTTTTACGTCATATAATGATAATAATAAACGCCATTTTTATTTATTTATTTTTTGTTGTAAATAAATAAAATTTTTTTAATGTTTCTTTAAAAGTCTTAAAAAATGTTAAACAACGACAACAACAATGAAAAGACGGCAACTTTAAAACTTTATGTAAAAAAAAAAAAAAAAAAGGAAAAAAATTTTTCCCCTTTTTCTTCTTCCTCTTCCTCTTCTTCTCCAGTGATTAAATTTTCTTAAGAATTATTCAATGATTGATTCAATTGAAGTTCTCCAGAATTTAAAAATTTTATAAAATTATTAAGGCATTCCGTACTGGTCCAATGTTTTTCTAAAATTTCTCCTTCTTTTAAAAGAGCGTTTTCCAATTTTTCCCGATCCGTGTATCTTAAAAGGAATTTGATTGATTGAAAACCCTGAAAAAAAAAAAAAAAAAAAAAAATTATTTTATTTTGAACGAAATCAATGTCCTCCTCCTCTTTCTCCTCCGACTCCTCCTCCTCTTACTCCTCCTACTCCTTCTCCGACTCCTCCTCTTTCTCCTCCGACTCCTCCTCCTTCTACTTCTCTTCCTCCTCCTCCGACTCCTCCTCTTTCTCCTCCCACCACTACTCGAACGCATTAATAAAAATAAATTTTTAAACAAATCCATTTGAAATCAAGCCAAATGCTTGAAACAAAAAAAAAAAAACTTTCTTTCTTTTTTCAAAGGTCAATTTTTTAATTTTAACATCCATAACACAAAAAAAAATTTCTTATTCTATTAGAAACAATAATAATAATAATACGCGGCGTCAAAAAAAAAAAAAAAAAAAAGAAAAAAAAATGTTTAACGTTTTAATTTTTTTTTTATTAATTTTAATTAAATGTGATCGTTGTGAACCGTTGCTCCCTTCGATTGCTGGCAAATTAAATAAAGTGATATTTATATATCCGACAGGTGTAAGATTGTTTTTCTTTTTTTCTTTTTTTTTTGTAAGAAAACTCTCGATTTATTTGTTTTATTTTTTAATTTTGTCGCTTTCAGATGCAAAGCGAAAGAGATTTATATGTTTGCCCGAAAAATTCAGGTTGCAATATTATACACAAGAGATTTTGGTTACCCCCGCTTGTAGAGAGATTGTGTCGTTGCCCTCAGAGACGCGAATGCGATTGGACCTGGTCTGAAATACCTGAAAATCACACGACGGCTATCGATAACCGCTCACAATTAAAGGTGAACAAATAAATTATTTCACAATATTATAATTATTAATAACAACAACGCGAAAGCACAAATAAATAAATTATTAATTTATTTATAGTTTTGTTCGGACTTGACAGAATTACCAGAATGCGAAGACAACAACAAGCCGGCCATTCGAGCGGTTACCAAGGTCGTGGAATATGACAAACAACCGGTGACGACCACCAAAAATAAACCAAATCATCGAAAAACGATTAAACAATCCGAACAAAGAAACGTGACAATTTTTTGTCAATGTCGGGATTATCCGCATTATTGGGACATAAGGGCTAATTGGACGGAAATAGATGAGGAAAATGATTCTTTGCAACAATTTTACAGTTGCGTTCAAGTAAGTAAATCGAATCGCGAGAGAGCGGAACTTATGAAAAAAAATTTGACTTCACGTCCTTCTCACGTCACGTGGTTTCACGTTTCAGTTAAAAAAATGTTCTTCTCTGGATTTTTGCGGCTACGTGAGAGCAGATACCTACTCCAATTTTTACAGGTGTTCCTGTCCGAAAAATCACATGTGCATATCAAAAGATAAAACACTCTATAAAATCCAAGAACTTCTTTACAAAGGTTTCGGGTACAAAGCCTTCTGCTATCCGATCGAAAATTAATAATAATGATTACCTGAACGGGTTGAGAAGCGACGTTTCTAGAAAATATAATAAGATCCTCTTGGAATTTTTCTTCCGGTATAATTCTCGATACGAGTCCGTATTTAAAAGCATCCGAAACAGGCATTTTATGACTTTGGAATAAAAGCTCGCTCACCTAAAAAAAAAAAAAAAAAAAAAAAAAAAAAAAATTTTATTTATTTTTAACTCTTTTTTTTTTAAGTGAAAATAAATTTTTTTTTGTTTTCACCATTTTTATATTACCAAATGATTATTGATTCGAGGGAATGTATGAGTCGGAGCTCCTTCGGGAACTTGACCGAGTTTCACGTAAGGCGTGTAAAATGATGCTTTATCGCTGGCAACGACCAAATCACAAAATGGTAGAATGGTTACTCCCATACCTATGGTACCACCTTGAACCCCGGCAATCAAAGGTTTTTTAAATTCCGACAACGATAAGCAAACCTCTCTGAAAAAGAAATTTTTTTTTTTTTTTTTTTTGTACAATTATAAATCGGATTTCAATTTATTATACAAATAAAATAAAAATTACGTACCTCATGATTTGAATTAATTGACAAACGGAATTTTTCCTTTCCGTTTCCGTATTCGAAACAATGAGATTAATGTCTATTCCTTGACAAAATGTACTTCCGGTTGATGAAATCAATACTGCTCTACAATTATCTTCTTCGGATAAAAAATTTATTATTTGTTTTAATTCGTCTAAAACCTTTAATATAAAAAATATAAAATAAATATAAAATTTTGTATTCAACCCTTACAATAATTATTATTATTATTATTAGGTATCATACCTGAAAATTAAAAGAATTTTTCAACATGGTCGATGTGGGATTTAATATAATTTGAACTAAATAATCGTATTGCAAAATGGTCCATTCTTTGCAATTTAATTTTTTACCCAATTCCGGGGATGCTTTTTTTATTTTTTTCAACCCCAACGATTCCACCGAAAGGCTGTCCATTGATGTCGAAGACCATATTGAATATTTTTTAGATATTGTTCTTGGCCTACATGATTTTCTTATTGGAACATTTGACAAGTTAAGTTTCGAAGTACTTGGCGGCATTACGGTGTCTCCATTCGAACCATTTTCCAATTCTTTCTTTCCTTTTTTTATTTTTATTCTTTTCTTTCGACCCACTCTCTTGATTCTTTTTAAACTATTTTTTTTTATAAAACTTTCCGATTTTTTGGAAAATGATTTTGGCGGCAAAGACTTTTCCGATGACTTTCTCTCTTCGAAATTAACATTTTTAAGTTTTTCCTCGTTCGTCATCGACTCTTCTTTATTTGCAACGTTTAAACCGTCCGCATCAAAACTCGTTCTTCGGTAACCCTCGCTGCTGTCAAAGGATTCGCTAGAAGAATGCCTGTACAAAATACGTGAAGCCTCGGCTCTTTGTTTCTTTTTAGGCTTATACAGGATAATGTTGGGCGTGGAGGCAAACAGGGGCTCCGAATTTGAAATGTCGAGTTTTGGTTCCCTTGAAAGTCGTTTCCCTCTCAAATAAACACCTTCCGTTCCCATTCCGCTAAGTCTCATGACTGCATTTTTAACCAATTTTGTTTTTAATACTAAATCTTTTTTCATTCCAGTGGTTGTTTTCGTTTTTGACTTTTTCGCAGAACCTAAACCAGCATCTTTATGTTGTGTTTCGTACAACATGCGAACGGCACCTTCATCTCCCAGTAACTTTTCAAGCTCTAAATTTCTTTTACCCGATCCAGGTTTGGTAATTCCTTTCTTTTTGTAAACTTTTTTCGGAGTTTTATTTTCAACTTTAACTACAGTCTTCTGCTTCTTTGGTTTGGATTCATTTTCTTCCTCTTCGTTTTGATTGAGAGCTTTTGTGACAGCCGCTATTGTCTCGAGAGTTGATTTAATATTATTATCCGCATCCGTGGATTTTCTTTTAACAGAATACGTTTTAACTACGTTGGTCGATATTGATGGACTGGTCTTGGTTTCAACGAAAATGACATCGTTTGATTTCTTATTCGTTACAATTTTGTTACTTGTACTAGGTGTTGGCTCTTTATCTTCATTTATCTTGTTTTCTACATGGTTGCCAACTTTTACATCGGATTTATTATCAGGTAAATAACACGGGCGTCGTTTTGGAGTTTCAGGTTTGAGAGCTGTAGAGACCTCGGGAGAAGTTAATGCTTTTTCAACAACGGTAGAAGCCAAAAAAGGAATGTGATTTACTTTTTTTGTTGTTCTAATACGTTTTCTCGTCGTAGGAAACTCTTCTCTTAATTGTTGTAGAGCAATAGACCTTTCCAACTCCTTATCCATAATTTTAAATTTTTTCACCTGAGTTTTTTTAACAGGTTTCGAAGGTTGTTCTTTCAATGATGAATTTCCAGCTTCCATGCTTTTAATAGCCTTTGAAATTTCCATATCGTTTCCGTTTTCCTTCGGATTCAAATCTGATTTGCTAGGACAAGTTTTCCAGTCTTTTATTTCATCTGCTTCCAAAATATCGACTATTTTTTGACGATCGTCAACGGTGTTATTATTATCACTGACTTCATTTTCATTAACGGTGGTTTTTTCGATAGATTCTGAATTTTTTAACGATTTATTTTGCGACAACTTTTGATTAAGTCTTTTTGTAAGCTCTATTGAAAAAAATAAATCTTTTCCTGCAACAATCGGTTTCACAACTCTCTCTGTGGACTCATCAAGAATTTTTACTATATCATCTTTAGAAATAGATTTTGAATATTTCAACGAATCTACTTTTGTATCTGACATTAAATTTACAATTTCACCCTCAATAACTGTTGTATTACCCTCTTGGCTTTGATTATGCACAACAGAATCGTTATTACTTTCATTCTCAACGATGATACAACAATTCTTTTCTGCATCACTCTTCTCAATTATTTCATTATTACTGTCAGTATGATTGACTTGACTTGGTTCATTAGTCAGATCCTCTCTCACAACTTGAAGTTCTTCTATGACAATTTCATTTGAACAATTTTCAATTTCTTCATTTTTCTTTGCTTCAACTTCTTCATTTTTCTTTGTTTCAACTTCTTCATTTTTCTTTGTTTCAATTTCTTCATTTTTCTTTGTTTCAATTTCTTCATTTTTTTTCGTTTCAATTTCTTCTTTTTTCTCTTTTCCTTCTAAAAGATTTTTTTCATTTAAATTTATATTTTCTTCTGAATTTTTTTCAACACCGTTTTTAACTTTATCATCATCGACGGTATTAATTTTATCTTTAACTAGCGAGTCCTGTTGTGAAACGTCTGCATCTTTTAATTTTTCAACATAAACAACATTTTCATCATTTTTAACATTTTCTTCACCAATTACATCTATGGTAATACTCTCTTGAGAATCTGCACTAGATTCCAAAACACTGTTTGAATCACTAACTTCTACAAATTCACTAGCATTTTGTACATTCTCTTCATTTTTATTATAAATATATATGTGGTTATCATTTTCTTGTGTAACAATAGTAACAACTTCAATACCATTTTCTACAATTACACATGACTCAGAATAGTTTTCTGGTGCTTCATTCAATTTTAAATTAACTTCTTTACATTCATTATTTTCCTTATCACTAACAACTTTTTCAATTCCTTCATTCATTTTTGTTTTAAAAAAAAACTAAATTGCCTAAAATAATAATAATAATAAATTCATTTTTATTATATATATATAATCTTTTCTAAGTGATAAAATTATTTTTAACATAAAATTATACCTTTTATTAAAAACAATGTTGTGTCAATTAAAAATAAGACAAATTCTATTCTTAGTAACAATACAAAGGCACTTTAAAGAAGGCATTGGTTGAATGAATAGAAAAATTTAATAATGATTATTATTACCTGAAAAATTAAAAAAAATTTAATACAATATAATTAAAATTTTATCAAAAACAAAATTAAACGAGTAAAAAATATATTTAATTAATATAAAATTAAAAAAAAATAAAAAATAGAAAAAGAGCAGTATAATAATTAATTAGATTTAAACGTACGATTTAACCGGTAGAAAAGTAATAAAAAAGCTATTACCAGAAGTATTACGGTTACTTTAACTACTCTAAAATAAACTTGGTAGATATTATTAAATTATAAATTAGATTTTGAAAAGGTTTTAGTTTTAAAGAAGAAAAATAGAAAAAGAAACAAATAATTAGTAAATATATATATATATACATATAATACACTAATATAGAAATATAATTATGAAACGCAGTACTCTTCCTAATAAATGATTAAAATAAAACAACCTTCGGAGACTAAAGAAATAATAATAATAATAATAATAATATATTAAATCAAACCTTTTTATAAAAATTAATACATTTTAATCAATAAGTTTATAATTGTTGATTCTAATAAAATTTAATGAACACGTTATCAAAATTATTAAATTCCACGATTCAGTCATGTTTTTAAGAAACAAATAACTAAACTACTGTATTTTGGGGCCTTGCAATTAAGTTAAAGTTGGCAATACTGAATTTTAATTATGAATAAAAGTTCAAAGTTATAAAAAGTTTTTTATATTTTATTATAAGCTGATTGATAATTTTCAAATAATTTCCAAGTTTTGTTTTTATAACATAATTGTTAGTATTTTTACAGTTTATTTGATATATTCAAAAGAAAATTATATTAGGTAAATTTTAAATAATATATATAATACAAAAAAATAATAAACCCTTATCTGAACTACTTGAAACTTAAACATGTACCAAATTAATTAAAAACTATCATAAACTTAAATATTTATTTTATATAATTTCTTTTATTGATTATTTTAATATTATATTTTATTAATTTTTAGAGTTAAAAAAAACATTTTAATAATTAAATTATAATAATAATAATGACGGGACCTTCTAAAATAAGTACAAGTCAATTTATTAAAATAGAAATAAAAGATAAACTTGCTGTGATAACTTTATGTCAACCTCGAAAGAAAAATGCTATTAATACCATAATGTATGAAGATTTGACAAGGTGTTTAAATTTTTTATCAGAAAACGATGAAGTTAGTATCACTGTGATAACTGGTTCTGGAGATTTTTATTCGAGTGGTACTGATCTTTTAGATGGTTTAAAAGAAAATTCCGATTCAGCCATTAAAAATGCCTCAATTAGATTACAGTGAGTAAATAGTTTGTTTTTTTTTTTTTTTTCCAACTTTAAAATTATTTAAATTAATTTATTGTTTTATTGTGTTTTAGAAAATTTATAGAAGCTTTTATTAATCATAAAAAAATTTTAGTAGCTTTAGTTAATGGTCCTGCTATTGGTATAGCAGTCACTACTTTAGCCTTATGTGACATAGTTTATAGTATCGATACGGCAACTTTTCAAACACCTTTTACAAAATTGGGAATGACAGCTGAGGGTTGTTCTTCTTATACTTTCCCTAAAATTTTGGGTACTGCTAAAGTAATTAATCGATATCATTAAATTAGTTTTTCAAAAGTGTCGTCTTGTATCTAAAACTGTTAAAAAATTTTTTTAAAGGCAAATGATATGCTACTTTTTAACTATAAAATGACAGCCGAGGAAGCATATCAAGCAGGTTTAATTTCAAGATTGTTCACTAAAGAAGAAATGAAAACAAGAGTGTGGAAAGAACTTGAAAAACATGCAGCCGAATTGCCAAGCAATGTAAACAAATATTTATTTTATATCGACTTATTCGTCGACAAATAATTATAAATTTTGTTTTATTTTTTAGTCCTTGAAATTTTCCAAGGATATGATAAGAGGTTTCGATTTGGCTAAACTTAAAGAGGCTAATAAAATGGAATGTCAAAGACTTGAAGAAAGATGGAAATCAGAAGATTGTCTGAATGCTGTCGTGAATTTTATGAGTCGACGTAGTAAAATGTAATAATTTCAAATATGAGAAATTAAAAACGTTAAAATAATTAAATACATCACTTTACAAATGGGCTTCGATAAACTAAATTCCTAAATGCATTTATTATCTTGTAAAAAAAAAAAAAAAAAAATATTTTTTTAAATAAAATTTTTCCTATTAAATATAAATAATTAAAATTTTAATTAAATTCTTATCGACTTCGTTCCCTTTTTCCCAAAATTACTATTATAAAATTCAAAACCTTTTGATTTTAAGGTATTTCAATTGGTAAAAGAATTATCGATAACTCAGCTTAATTACACCGTAATGTTCATTTAAAAAAAAAAAAAAATTTTTTTTAGGCTTAAATGTTGTGAATTCTATACCTTAATGGCGTTAAAACCTGTACAGTATATTTAAATATCATTTAAAAAACATTCTTTTATTTATCTATTGTTTTAACAACGTGAAAACGATACCCACATTTTTTCAACTTATTCAGGTTTACTTAAAAAATTTTTTTTCGTACGTTAACAATAATACCGTCGGAAATTGAATACCTTGAAACCTTAAAAATATTTCAATACCTAAAAAAATTTGACTGAATTTTTATTGTTCTATTGTTTCATTATAATAATAATTTATAACGGTGATAAAAAATCTTAGAAATAAGAAAATAATTTTTCTGATTTAGTTTTTTTTTTTTTTAAATACAAAAAGAAATAATAATAATAATAATAATTTATGGTACAAAAACTGTCTGATAAACAATCAATAAATAATTAATAATATAGTTCAAATATTAAGTCTTATAAAAAAAAATTCACAGCACTTTTCATAATTATTATTGTTGTTGTTGTTGTTCAAAAAAAATTAAAAACTGTTTGTATTTTTTTTTTTTTTTTTTTTTTGAAATGATAATTGAATTAATTATAATTTTTACCTTATGAACGTTCTTAAATGTCTGCTCGGTTCATTCCTAATGCTTCGAACGGCTGGCATTCCGCCGAATTGTTCGCTTCTAGTACTCCAAGAAGGCAAAACCCTTCCCCTTCCCAGAAATCTTCCTAAACTTGTTTCCGTTCTTATGGGTAACCTTTCCGACAAGTGAAATTGACGAGCTGCTTCTTCGTGTTGAAGCCAAGAACCTCGACCTCTTAAAAGTCCTCTCGGACTATCTCTACGAGGATAAGTGGGCGCACCGAAAAATCTACCTCTTTCCGATGAATACGCTCGCCCTCTACCTCTCGTTCTCGTTGCGATGATGTCCTAAAAAAAATTTAATTTTTGATTTTTTTTAAAATTTATCACGATAAGAGTAATTTTATTAATGAGTTCATATGAGTTCACCTTGACTACGCGCATCGATATTTTATTATACCCAGTGGGTCCTGTGGGTTGCTGTCCGCAAGTTTCCAAAGCCACAAAATCGTCGACATGAAGCGAAGGAGGTCTCGAGGTATTGGGCGGTCGAGACCTAAACAAATCTCCACGTTGAGGAGCGGCTCTTCCTATGCCACGCCCTCTCATGGGAGTTACCGAAAACACGCCTTAAATGAAAATATTTTATTATTGGTATGTGTATAATTCGTAAATATCTTTAATAATTTGAAAAACTAACTAAAAGGTCTTCTGGTTCGAACTCCGCTACTGTGGTATTTACTAGTGGGTGGTTTTTTAGGATCTTCTTCGTCATCCGTCGCCTTGAGCATGCATATTTTTTCCACTTCGTGTGGCAAATGCAATTCGGGTAGAAAGAAATTAGATATTTCTATTAAATCGCATCCAATCTGCAAAAAATACGAATTAAATTTTAAAGTTTTTTTTTTCTTTTTTTTTTTTAATCTAATACTTCATACTTACCTGATCCATTTCCTGGTCCGAATCATCGCAGGTGGGTAAAGATAACCAATACACAGAATTAAGTTTTTTGTCGTCTACGTCTCCCACGATACAAACGGGCCGAGATGAAAATTGAGTGTTTAAAGGATTCGCAGCTGGTAAAATCACTTCGATAAGTTCTGGAAAAAAAACAAAAACAAAAAATTGTAAAATGCCTTCATTCCGTTTATCCAAACACAAAAGAAATTACTTAAATTAACCTTTTTTTTCTACGGTGACGTTATCACTTTCCGCACTTTTCAACAAACTGACTAAACTTTCCAAATTTTCATGCAGACTCAAAAAGGATTCATCGTTCACACTCCATTCCTAAAAAAAAAAAAGAAAAAATTTCAGCCTCACAAAATAAAAAAAAAAAGTATAATTGATTGAAGAAGTAGCCAACTTTTATCATAGACTCTAATTGTATTATAGGATGAGGTTTCTCTTCGTTTTCAGGTTTACCCCATTGTACAGTAATGGCAAGTTCTTGAGGAGTCATTAATTGAGTGCGAGGTGGTAAACCTGAAACTTCAACGTCTTCTCCCACGTTCATGAATTCTCTCAATAGACCCAAAGCGGTGCACAACACGTTTAAACTATCCGTGCTTTCCTTGCTTATGTTCTTGCATATTTTTAACAATAAATTCCATATCGAGTCATTTTTTGTTTCCAAGCAACTAAAAACATAATGATTAAAGTTAATTATAATAGTTTTTAAAAAACAGGTACATTTTTAACGAAATTTTATCTTACCTTCTTAAATAGTAAAATCCGTAGTCGTGTTCCGTCAGAAGCATCAAAGCTTTTAAAGCTGATAAAATTGTCATAAACGAATGTTCCTTATTACCGATGTGATCCAACAAAGCCGAAACAAAAATATTTAATAATTCTTTTGATGGTAATGCATTAGCTAAAAATATATCGTTGACGGACGCGTCATCTTGACTTTCGATTGAAGATATGGGTACCAATGTAACATCTGCATCGAATAAGGCTTGCAAAATTAATATGACGTGTTCTTGAACCTGAGAGTGAGTCACGACATTAGACGGAGTCTGAAGAATCGTAGCAAATTTGCTCGCCACGGGCAAATATTTCTCGTCCGATTTATTATTATTATTTCCTGTGATTAAACTCAGTATAGCAGCTTTTATACTAGAGTGACTGACTAAACACGCGAGAAAGTTAAGAAGTCTGAGAGTGTGAGATGTGCATGGAATTTCCAGAGAAGAATCCGTCGCCTGATTCGTTGTAGGTTTTTGTAAAGTTGTCAGCAAAGGATCCAAAACTGCTCTTCCGACGACGAGTGCGGTGGGTGCTGCTAAATCTGCTAATTGCATACAAACACGTCTCACGAGTTGTAGTAACGGCGCATAACTGCTTCCCGCCATTGTGGATATCAAGTCATGGATAAGCGGAGATAAACTGAGCAAATGTGCACTCCATAATTTTCTACTGTTTATAATGTTATTGATTTCGGCTTGAGATAATTCGGTTTTCGTTGGTACCGGCGTGGGTAGTGGCAATAATTCCGACAGCAACAAGAAACCGGGAATGAACGTAAAAGAAGACTTGGTTATATATTTCAACACGTCCGAGATCATCAACGTCCATAAAGATTTGGTAAATGTTTCTGCTTCGGTGGCATTTTCACTCGCTACGGGTTGCGTGTACGCCAACAATGTTTCGACAACGTCGCGGCAAACTTTTTGAAAACTTGAAAAACATTCGGAATTCGGTTGAAATGCTTGCATAAGAGTAAAAATTTGAATGAGAACGTTCACGTGAGTTAAATCTTTGTAATCGGTATTTCGAACCGATATAACGTACGTAATCATTCTCCTCATGAGCATTATGCAAGGTTCTATAAAAGACATTAAATTAGATCCTTGGTATCCGAGTAAATTAATCGAATGGACGAAAGGTTGTTCGTAATATTCTAATATTTTCGTTAATATGGCATTGAAATGACTCAAACAATCCAACGAATAAAGTTGCAAAATTATGTATTTATACTTGAGTTCCGTGTATTCGTCTTCGTAATTGAGAGTATTTAAATCGCTTTCATTTTTGGGTATGCCCAAATGTCTTAAAATTCTAACGCACGTTATCAAATCACCCGGTAATAATTGGCATGCTTCAATGGTCGAATATTTTTTTAAAATGTCACACAGAGGTTTTACATCTTCGTACGATATTATATTCGCCGTTTCCAAAGGTTTCAACCATGGCACCACGTCATTCAAATGACTTTGTTTATCACTTTCCGCCAACTCTAATAACGTCCTCCCAAATTTTTTTAAAAATAAAACGTCATCCGAATATTTAATAGTCAATATAATTAAATCTAAAACGTAATTTCTAACGGCTGATTTTTTATCAGAATTTTGTATCACGTCCAAAAGTATTTGCATGTTGTCGTCCAAACTCAAAACGAAAGCGATTTGAAATTTTCCCACCGACGTGAAAGAAATACTGTAGAGTTCGTGAAAAATATCGAATAATTCTCCGTGCGAATCTTCACGACAATCCAAACAAACTATTTTATCTAAATGTTGTAAAATTTGCAATCTGCAAGTAACTTCCATTCCTAAATAAGTCGTCGTTCCCGGTATGACTTCGATGTAGTCTTCGGATAATTGACAACACAAAGCTTTCAATATGTTGTTGCTCACTTCCGGGTTTATCGATAAAAATGCCAAACCGTCTTGTCTGTCGGAAAAATTTTTTATTAAATTTTGAATTACTCCCATGATTGATAAATTTGTTTTTCTGTTCGACAACAAAATGGCTATTATTTCTAAAAATTTGTGAGTTTTAAAATATCTGTACAAAAACATGACGGTGTTACCGGATGGTATGTTAATTTCAAACTGCGATTGCACCGGTAAAAACCTTTTCGGCTGCGATATGAGAACGTCCGCGTGCTTGTAAACTTTTTCAATTTCCTTCAGGTAAACCAAAACATTATTGTTATATTCGCACTCTTCATTTCCCTTTTCTCGTATCGTTTCTTCGATTTCCATTTTTAAATTTTCTAACGTATCGTACGTGTGAATTTTTTTGAGCAACGAAGTTATTCCAAATTTTACTCTCACCAATTGTTTTCCTTTGAGCATATTAAAAAGATGCTGATAACCGTTTAATGGTTCCGTTTTTACATCCCCGATAACTAAAACGAATTTTCCCGTGAGAAAATGACGAATTGATTTTTCCTCGATCAAACTCGAATCCAAAGCTTTGAGAATCATCAATTTGATCGAGAGCGCCATGTATTCTTTGTAAAAAAGTTGCATGAGTTTTTGTTGGATTTGAAGTTCCGTAACTAATTTTTCAACGAGCCAACAACCGCAAAGACAAATAACGTCTGCCAACCGAATCCCAGCTTTGATGTGACGAACTTTAAATGCGGGTTGAGCGTGATTCACGGCAACATCTATGTTGAGACCAATGTCGACCCATTTTAATAAAAGCGGCATAACCGGATGATTTTCCGTAACCGTTGCCAATGCTTTGTCCACGAGTGGTAAAATTTGTTCCACCGCTTGAACCCAGTCTTCTTTGATATTTTCCAAGTCGTCGATTTGAATATGTTTAATTACGTTGTACAATTGAACAAGATCGTTATTTTTATCTTCCGCTTTGATTCTTTGCAAATAAAATTTTTCCTTTTCGCAAATGGTCAATGAAGGATCCAAAAAATACTAGATTAAAAACAAACATCCTTTAATTTTACAACTGTTATATAAAAACTCAATTGGAAAAACTTAAAAACTCACCTCGAGAGGTTGAATTTGAAATGTGAATGGATTAAACGGTTTCACTATTTCTTCCATATCATCGGGAAAATCGTACTCCATGTCCTGATATAAATGCAATAAAGGTAATCATCAATTTCGTTATTTAATGTGTAATACATTTAAAACATTATTTATAAATATAATCGAAGAAAAATATTTTGAATAAAACTGCAAACCTGTGAGTCAGATTCATCGATGATATCTTCGTCACTAAGAATTGGCTCAAATTGTTCATCATCCAAAGTTGTTTCCTCTTGAACCGATGGAGACTGTCCGTAACTGGGACTTTGAGCACAAGAAGTTCTATTAAATTTTGAAGGTGAAAGAGCAGGAGCTTGTAATGTCTTCGGAGCTAAAATTTTGTCACATTAATTTCGATTTTATAAAACAAATTTTTTTTTTTTTTTTTTTTAAACTTTTAAAAAAAATTTACCGGCTGTTTCGATTTTTAAATTTTCCACCGTTCTGGTTTTTGAATGCGGAGATAAATCTGACGGTTTTTTAAGTTCTTCGTGAGACTCGGAATAAACTTGACGACTATTCGGTGAACTGTATTCGGCTTTAAAAATGACATTTAAATAGTTTTATAATATTAAAATTTGATTTTAAAGACATTTTGAAAAAAATTTTTTATTGAAACCTACTTCTTCGTTCAGGAGACCAAAATCTCTCGGTCGGAGTATAAGGCCTTTTTGGAGATCTAGATGGTGGAGATTTCGGTCTTTTACGATAATTGCTCGCATCGGAACAAGGGCTTCGATCTCTTTCTCTATCTTTTGGCCTTTCTCTTTCCCTTTCTCTTTCTCGCTCTTTTTCTCTATCCTTATCCCTTTCACGTTCTCTTTCTCGTTCGCGGTCTCGCTCTCTATCCCTATCTCTGTCCCTTTCCCTGTCTCTATCTCTATCCCTCTCACGATCACGCTCTCTATCTCTTTCCCTATCTCTTTCGCGATCACGCTCTCTTTCTCGTTCACGTTCCCGTTCCCGTTCACGCTCTCTTTCACGTTCTCGTTCTCTATCACGATCCCTATCTCGATCTCGATCACGTTCTCTATCTCGGTCTCGATCCCGGTCTCGGTCTCTATCTCTGTCTCTGTCTCTTTCACGATCTCGTTCTCTATCCCAAGAGGTTTCACGATAAGCCGGAGCTCTGCCAAGAAATATTATAATAACAATAAAGTTTAAGTTTTTTATGAAATACACTGAAACATATAGTTTTTTTTAATTTTCAAAATAATAAAGGTAATAAGATACCTGTGTCTTATTTCGGTTGATTCACTTTTTTCTCTCCACGACCTGTCGGTTGATCTTTCTCGTTCTCTTCTTCCTCTAACGTTGCCTCTTTCCTCACGCACACTACTTCGTTCTCTGTCTTTAGTTACTTTATTTCTATCACGTCCAACGTCATCTTTTATACTCCCTTCTCTTTCTTTTCTATCCTTGTCTCTTACATAACGATCTCTATCCCTCTCTCTGTCTCTATCCCTATCCCTATCTCTTTCTCTATCCCTGTCTCTATCTCTTTCTCTGTCTCTATCACGATCTCTCTCTCGATCTTTTTCTCTATCTCTATCTCTCTCTCTGTCTCTTTCCCTGTCTCTATCACGATCTCTTTCCCTTTCTTCACCCTCTTCTCTTCTTCTCCATTCTCTATCCTTGTCACTTCTCCTGTCCCTGTTTCTATCATCCCTTTCAAATTCTTTTTCATTTCTTATTGCCGGTCTATCATCGCGGACTTTCGGAAGTTCTCTTTCATCCTTCCCATCAATATTTCCATCCCAATATTTATCCCTAGACTTTTCTTTTTCTTCATTTCTTTCAATCCAATCGCAATTTTCCCCATTCATATTTCTACTTGGACTAACATTAACTTCTACTTTTGTATCACTTTCTAATGGAACATGCTGCTCCCATGGCTTGGATGCATCCCACGATTGAGGAGCATCATATTTTTTATTATTGGCATTATAAGCATCATTAATAGGTAATGGCTGAAAGGCAAAAAAAAAAAATTTTTTAATGATCCTTTTAATTATTAAAAAAAAAAAAAAAAAAAAAAAAAAAAAATTAATGAAAGCCAAAATTCATACAACAGGGTTAGGTTGAACATTTGTAATGGGCCATCCTTCAACATAACCATGATCTTGTGAATTTTGCTGATATTCCGGTGCATAATTATATGATTGATCTATATACATATTTTCTGGTTGTTCTGGAACTGGAGCATGTTGCTGAACCAAAACAGGAGGTGGTGGAGGAATTCCTTTACTCAGAACTCCATACAAAGCAAGTGTTATTGTTGTATATAATCCTTTTAAAACTAAACCATCAGTTGGAATCTTCTAAAAAATTAAAAAAAAAAAAAAAAGATTGATTTTTGCAAATAAAAAAAAAAAAAAAAAAAAAAATTTTATAAAGTTAATATAAGAAAAAACATTACTCTTTGACTGCATTCTAATTGTATATCAACATTTTCTCTGTATTCTAAAACACCCAATCTTTCAAAAGTTGATGCACCAGGTTTACTTAAATCATTTACAAAAAAGTCAATTTTAAATTGAGAAGGATTTGTGGCACCAAGTCTGACACCTCCAGGAAAATCTGCTTGAACCCTAGCTCCCAAAGGAATTATTCGAATTTCGCTAATTATCACTGGTTTAGGAAACTGCACTAAGTCTAAATTGATCTCCTACAATTTAAATCTTAAATAAATAATATATACATTTTACACAATTATAACCATATTATTAATATCATTTGATTACATATAACATTTAAGTGTTATCAATATTTATTTTTTAAATACTATTACAATGTACAATACCAAAATGTAAAAATGTGTATCACTACATATAATATAATATATTGAGGGGGATGGAAAAAAAAAAAAAAAGGGTTTTTGCATTTTTATTAATTATTTTACCGCATCACAGTGAAAACGAATTGTAAAAACTAAATTAACTGTGAAATATTTAACATTAAACAGTTATTAAATTTATAATTAAAACTTGCCCCAACAAAAGTCTTAAATAAAATCAACGAAGTACACATACCCCGGAAGAATCATGTGAAAATGTGTCAAAAAATAATAACTCTTCAATATTTTCAGACGCCATTTCAAACCGGCATTTTGTATAATGACAGTGTAGCCAACCTTATACCTTTATTTAAATCAATACGTAAGGCCCAGAAAAAATTTTGGGGGTAAATCTACAAATCTTATTTTTAAATTTCTTTAAATATGATTATTTATAAATAAAATCCTTTATTATTCAACCGATTAATTATAAACTAAAAAATATGGTTGAATTTATACGACCCATTGATAAAACAACCATTAATCAAATATGTTCCGGCCAGGTAAAACTGTATTTAAAATAATTATTTAAAATTAAACGAGGTTTTTAAGAATCTGAAATACGAATGTAGAAAACGTTTTTTTGGCGTAGGTTGTTCTTACTTTGGCAACAGCAGTAAAAGAATTACTAGAGAACAGCCTTGATGCGGGTGCCACAAGTATTCAAATTAAATTAGAGGAATATGGTAGTAAGGTAATTGAAGTCATTGACAATGGTTGCGGTGTTAACGAAGATAATTTCCAGGCTCTGAGTATGACAATAAAAACTTTTTATATAATTTTAGAAAATGTAATACATTCACATTTACTAATTGTTTTTTGATTTTAGCTTTAAAACATCACACATCGAAAATTTCAGAATTTTCAGATATATATAATGTTAAAACTTTTGGCTTTAGAGGAGAAGCATTAAGTTCATTATGTACTTTAAGTTCAGTGACCATAACTACTCAACATATAAATGCTCAGATAGGTGCAGTTTTAAAATTTGATCATAATGGAATTATTAAAAGCAATACTAAAATTCATAGAAAGGTTTTCATGTCTCATTAAAATAATTATCATATGTATTGTTGATTTAGAATGAAAAAGAATGTTTTTTTTTTTTTTAGGTAGGAACAACAGTTAGGTTAGAAAATTTGTTTTGTACTCTTCCGATTAGAAGAACAGAATTTTTAAAAAATCTTAAAAAAGAATTTTCTAAAATGTGCACAGTATTGTATGCTTATGGACTTATTTCCACTGGAGTAAGGTTGCTATACAATTTATATATAATTATTATTTTTTTTTGAATTCGCAATGATTTTTTCTTACTAATAAATATATTTTAATTATAGAATAACTTGTACTAATCATGTAGTAACAAAGTCTAAATTTCAAAATAAAAATGATCAAGATAATTTAAAAAAGAATTTCACAACTACAATAATGGATATCGAAGGAAAATCCATCGAATTTAATATAAATTCAATTTTTGGCATTAAAGAAAAGCAAAATTTGTTAAAATTTGTACAGAAAAATCCCAGTTTAGAAACTTTAAAAGAATTTAATATTGAAAGTAAAAAATTTAATTCCGAATTGTATAAAATTGAAGGATATATAAGTTCTTGCAGTCATGGTTGTGGAAAATCTGGTTCGAATAGACAATTTTACTATATTAATCAGAGGCCGATTGATCATCCTAAAGTGAATGAATATTTAATTATTATTTAATTGTGTTATATTAATTATTGTGATTTTAATTTTAATTTTTAATTTTTTAGATTTTTAAATTAGTTAATGAAACATATCATCAATTTAATTCTCATGAAGATCCTTTTGTTATACTACACATTAAAGTAGAAGATGGTTTATTCGATATTAATTTAGTTCCTGACAAACGTCAAGTTTTAGTTCAAAATGAAAATTTTCTTTTGGCAACACTTAAAGAATCTCTTCTCGACATGTTTAAACTTATTCCCTCTACATTAAAAGTGAACAATATAGGTTTGTTAAATATTAAATTCGAAAATGATAAATCATCTGATAAAGTTAATTGTACACAATTGGAAAATGAAAAAGAAAAATTTAACTTAAAAAAAAGTGAAGGTGAGTACACGAGAAAACATTTACTTAATTCAAAATTACTTATTCACGCTAAAGATATTTATATTTTATAGATTTGAAAATGAATCTTAAAAGATTTCAATATTCGTCTCAAAATTTAAACAACACAAATAATTCAAACATGTCGGAATCGATTCCATCAAATAAAATTTCAAATAATTTTATTTCAAATACCTCTTGTTCGAGTAAAGATATGTTCGTACAAAAAAAATTAAAAGATTTTCTTGTAAGTGATTCTGCGGATAACGATCAACAACTAAATGATGTAACGGAAAATTTAAAAACGGAAATGACGAAATCACCACCGAAATCAAAACAATTACTTTTTCCGACACAGAATTTTTCAAATTATAAAATTACGATTGAAAATTCAAATGATAACAAAAGAAAATTAGAAGAAAAAATAATAAATAATATTTCAATTGATCAAATTAATCAGGTATACGAACCTAAACGAATAAAATATGATGAAAACATCACCGGTCACGTTGCAGAAATCAAATCTGAAACTCTTGAATTCGAAAATATTTCTAATAACCTAGAAGAACAAGAAGAAAAAAATGGCGGATTAGATATTAATACAGAAAAATATGATGAAGGTTTAGATAATAAATTCAGGAGTAATAGAAACACTTTGACGTACGATATTAACATGAATACCTTAAAGGAAATGGCTATTAAGGAACAAGTAATAAAAAAAAACAGAAACGATCAAAATGAAAAAATAGAAATTAAATTTTTAGAAAAAATAGAACCTAAAAATAACGATAAGGCTGAAATGGAATTAACAAAAGTAATAAAAAAAGAAAATTTTCATGAAATGGATATAATTGGACAATTTAATTTAGGTTTTATAATAACAAAATTAGGATCAGACATATTTATTATTGATCAACATGCAAGCGATGAAAAATATAATTTTGAAATGTTAAAATTAAAAACGGTTATGCAATGTCAAAAAATGGTCAATCCGGAAACATTAAATTTAACCGTCGACAAAGAAGAATTAATGTTAGAACATGAAGAAATATTTAAAAAAAATGGATTCCATTTTATTTTTGACGAAACCCAAGTCCCGACCAAGAGAATAAAATTAACGAGCGTTCCAATGAGTAAAAGTATCGTTTTCGGTAAAAACGACGTTGAGGAATTATTATTTTTGTTAGAAGAAGTCACTACTGATAAGATAATTATAAGGTAAACAATCATTTTTATCGGAAAACAACGGAAAAATTTTCAATTTTTCTATTAATTTTTCCTTTTTCCCCCCAAATAAAAGGCCGACTCGTGTGCAAAGTATATTCGCGTCCAGAGCTTGTCGCAAATCCGTCATGATTGGAACTCCATTAAATTTAAAAGAAATGAGAAAAATAATTGATCACATGGGAGAAATGGAACATCCTTGGAATTGTCCACACGGAAGACCGACCATGAGACATTTAGTTAATTTACAAATGATTTTTGCACAATAATAATAATAATAATAATAATTTTTTTTCTTTTGTTATTTTACTCTGTTGTTGTTGTAATTTTTATTAAAAACTGCTGATATTAATATAAATAAATAAAATTTCTTTTTATATATATATTTTTGTTTACACCAGCATTATTCCTTTTTCGTTTTTCTTTGTAAATAAATTTTTTAATAACAACCGACCAAACTACACGCTTATAGTCCGAAATATATTAAATCCACTAAGTGCCGTACTAATCACTAAACCAGGTATGTGAGGATGCCAATGAAGTTCTTTGATTTCTTGCTGTCCCTGATGAATGAACAACAGTTGAGGTGGCACATTCTAAAACGACATAAAAAAAAAATATAAATTTAAAAACCAATAAATAAATAAATATTAGTTATTAATCATTTTTCTCACTTCGATTTCTTCTTCTTTTGATTCTTCATCTTTTTCAACGCTTAAATCCCACAATGCGATTTGATTGTCTTCTCCCCCCGTTGCAAACACGGTGGATTCAGTCGGATGCCATTCGACCGTCGTGACGGGAGCCGTATGATGTTTAAATGTAGCCACGGGTTTTTCCGACTGCAAATACGCGGATTTATAAAAAAATTTAATTTAAAGTACTCTTGATGAAATAATTAAAACAAAATGCAATACGGACTTTGAGTTGTCTTAAATCCCAAATGTGTATGAATCCATCATCACCTCCGGATACTATGAAAGGCTCGTTTTTATTCCAGTGAATCACGTTGACGTCACTTTTATGTGCGTTTTCCACCGTAATCATGCATGCTTTTTGTCCCGTCGCTCTGGTATCCCAAATTCTAATTCTATATAAGTAAACATTGCACCAAATTGTATTAAACAAACTAAAACTAAATTAAAATTAAAATTTTAAAAAAAAACGAACGTTTTATCTACGGAAGCCGAACAAAGAACGTGTCGCTCGTTTGGAGACCATTGTAAATCTTCAACGGAATTTGTATGACCGATCAACGGCCTTTGATCGACTCTCCATCCGGATTCGTCAAATTGCCAAAGATGAATATTTCGTTTACAATCTCCGGTTGCAAGAATGCCTTAATTTAAAAAAAAAATTATTTTATGTCCAATTCAAAGAGAAAAAACAAAAAATTGTAACCGTTAAAAACCTTCGCTCGTGGGACACCAATCCAATGCAAATCCCTCCGACTGGTGTCCGGAAAATGTAAAAATGGGTTTAGTTTTAACCGTCAAATCATCTTGTCTGTATTTCGAAAGCAACGCCACGTCGTTAACGGCTTGAATTTGAGTTTTGAGATCCCAAATGTAGACTTTTCCCAATTCCGACCACGAAGCAGCTAATATTGTATTATTTGCAATCGTGCTCTGAAATTAAACAAACAAACGAATTTTGAAAACGTTCGCGAATCATTCACGATCACGTGATAAAAATGGCGGATTACTCTTATTCGATTAATACATCCGTAATGAGCTATCGATGCGTAATCCATTCTTGGTTGATTTTCTTCGCTTTCCTCTTCGTCTTCATCACTTTCTTCTTCTTCGTCATCTTCATCATCTTTTGTATTTTGTGTCTTGTGTAAATTTGATGTTTTCATAACAATTATGCAATTTTCGTTAAGTTTCGATGCTTGCGTTCCAGCCACCAAATAACACGTCAATGGAAATTCACTACGATTTGTTCCCAATTCATCTTTAATTATGTCAAAACTTAAACATGGAGCTCCTATAAAATAAATAATTTATTATAAAATTCCTTTGCTTGAAATTTTGTAAACAAATTTTTACCTTTTATTTATTATTATGTATTTTTCAATTTTTTTCCAACTGGTTATTAAGGTACATTTGATTACGTCACAAGTATTGATTTAACATAATTTAAATAAGTAGAAGACATTGACAAAATTTCATGTTCTTTTTCGTTAAAAGAGAATGATTTTTATTATTGTTTTTCAATATGATTGAGTGCACCATTAATTGAATTTTTAAAAAATTTCTCTTTTAGTTTTACACGGAGAAATTTTAAAATTAAAATTAGATAATTTTTTAAAAACATGAGTCGGTGAATCTGGTATTATACTTTTATTAATGTCATTTAAAAATGACTTATTAACTTTGCTTTTATTTTTATTTAATTTAATTTGTTCTTTAGCAAAATTATCTCTATTGCTGATGTTAAACGTCTCATTCAAATAATTTTTCAATTTGTCTATATTTTCATTTTCATTCGATTTTATCTTACTAGTTACTTTTATTTGATCCGGAGAAGTTATTGGCCTGTAAAATCTTGTATTTGAATCGTTATCGAGTCTCTCATTCGTGTCATTAAATTTACCAGAAGAATATTTCAACATGTTGTAAATTTTCAAACTGTATTTTTGAATTTGTGATTGTACATCATTTGAAACTTTCATTAGTGTCTCATTTGTTTTATTATTAACATCTTGGCCGATATTTTTCCAAACGTTATCATTGACAAAAATGGGATAATTTAAGTTTGGGTAGTTGAACATATAACCGGAACATTTAAACAATTGTTCATCGCTCAAATTAATTATTTTTGAATAATTTTTTTTTTTCATTTTTTTTTTTTTTTGTTAATTTAAACAAAGATTTTAACAAACATTTTAATGAAATAAATATTGAAAAAATTATTATTCATTATTTTTTTTTATCAATATCAAATTGAATTTCATTTTTTCTTTTTTTTTTTTTTTTTTTTTAAATCGGGAAATAAATTAAACTGGAAAAATTTTTATTTTATTTTATTTTTATTTTGTATGAATACAAATTATTTAGAAGCCATTTTTTTTTTTTTTTTTTTTTTTTTTTATTAAAAAAAAACAAATGACTGTCTTTTAAATTATTCAAGAATATAATTTGATTAGAGTACTTTTGAAATAAAATATTTTTTTCAAAATAATTATGTACCCAGTGAGAATGAGACAATTCCAAAAGAACATTTTTTTTTTTTTGTTTTTATCAACCGTCTCAACCAAAATATTTACCAATTCGATTTACGAGTCATTTTCTTATAAAAATTATAGTAAAAAAAGAAAAAATTTTCTTAAATAAATTCTAATTTAATAGTATTGTTATGAAAAAAAATAATATTTACCGGTTTGAACTTCACGTAACATTATATAAGCAGATTCATCGCAAACTAATTCTTCGTTATGTCTCAATGGTTTATGCGGTAGGTAAACATCTTTTTTTTTATTATTTTCTACTTCTTCTTCTTCCGTCTCATTTTCACTTTCCCAATTTTCCTCCGATTCATTCATTTTTTCATCATTACACGTCGTCGAAATGGTATCATCGACAATCATATCGTTTAATTCATTATCACCTACTTGTACAACAGACTTTTTCTTTTTTTTAGACTTAAAACTTTTAGTTTTTGAATCGTCGCTACCCGATGGTACTATCGATTTGTTATCTAAATCCTTTTTATCATCGTCCGTGTCCATATTTTCCATTATTAAAAATTATTAAATGTTAAAAATAAAAAAATAAAACTCGAAAGAAAACTTTAAACTCGGGCACCATGTGCTGGATTTACTGTGTGTTCGAGTATGCAACCCTTATTATTCGGGGCCCTTCTCCGAATGAAAGTCATCTAAGAAGGCCTTGACATTGTACAGCTTGTCAGCCATGTTAGATTGATTTTTGACATGTCAAAACAAAGTATTTTTTTTGTTTTATATTTAGTCATACGGCAAAATTATAGCAAAATTCGACGTTTAATAAACCAATAATGAATGAAACCGAACGAAGGGCGCAGGAATATATAAAAAGAGCCGAATGGGAAAAAGCAGTTGAATGCTTTGATCAACTACTTGTAACCAATCAAAACAATAGAAATGGTACTTTACCAAAAGATAAATTAGTTAATATATTAATTGGAAAATCCGAGTGTAATTTCGCATTAGGAAGAAATGATATTGTCGTGCAAGATTGTAGGAAAGCACTTAAACTTTACGTTGAAAATGATGTTTATGGTAGTCAAAAAGATAAAGCAAGAAAATTGTTGATTCAATCATTGATACAAAACAAAAGGTTTTCCGAAGCTGAATCCGTTGTCAAAGAATGGCTTCAAAGAGGAAAAGTGCAATCGGATACGAAAAAAATTTTAGAGCAATTGAAAAATAAATTTCAAAATTATGGGCAAAGAAATCAAAATGTAACATTACAAAAAATTGAAGAAGACTTATTAGTATTACAAGCAACATTGGAAGGAGGGAATAATAATACTACTGTAGGTGAAAAAACAAAGAAAAATATACAAAAATTAGAAATAATGTCAAATGTAAAAGACTCATCTAAAAAAGGTGGAAACACACACAATTTTCGTGAACAGCAAATGCATCAAAAATTATTAGAAAATAATAATAATAATAATAATAATAATTCCGATATGAGAAATAGTCAGGATGAATTTAATTGCAGTTATTGTTCTTTAAAATTTCACGATATAGCATCTTTAAGATCTCACTGTTTAACAGGCAGCCATCAAACAGTTATTATGTCAGATGAAGGAAGAGACTGGAAATATAGACCACCTCCAAGGTAAGATGAAACACAAGAGTAAACCTTTATGAAAATTTTTTTTTTCTATGATTTTAAGAATTGATAATTATTTATTTTTTTTTTTTTTTTGCAGAGGTTTAACAGCTGATGCTTATTCATTATGCGAAAGTTTTCAAGAGAAAGGATGTTGTAGATATGGTGCACAATGTGTTGATGCACACGGACCTGATGAATTATCCGAATGGTCTGAAAGATTTGAATATAGGAGAATGAAATTACAAAGAGCATCTGAAAAACAATTGTATGGAAAATCTTACACCGAGCAGCTTTTGGAAAAGTAAGAGTTTTCTTTTTTTTAATATAACTTTCGATCGATCAATCAACTACATCACTTACTATTATTATATTTTACAGGTGGGTAAATTCTCCCAATCCGGAAAAAGTAATGAAAGACAAATTAGAGGGAATAGATGAATCTATTAGTGGAAATTTAACAACATCGGTTTCATCGAAGAATAGTCAAAGAGAATGGACATTTTTATTAAAAACGAAAAAAAAAATTAGGGCTGTAGCATTACTTCAAGATGCACACAGGAATCATTTTTCATTAAGGTGTGTGTGTGTGTGTGTGTTTAATAAAAAAAAAAAATTTTTTTAAATCAAATAATACCTTTGAAATTGTCATTTATTTAGTAAGTACGCATTTAATGACGTCATTCATACTGTAAAATTGAAAACTAATTAGTGTAAAGAAATAAATAAATAAAGGGATTAATATATTTAATATTGTTTAATAGACAAGTAGCCACAGGTAACAATGCTTCGAAAGCATTGTCATCCACCGATTGGAAACCTGTTAACGATCAAGAATGGACTAGTGCTAAAGATTCATCATCATTGGATTCTGAATCCAGTGAGATTCTGGAACATAGAATAAAAGTAGGATTTAAAACGGAAATATATGGTACATTTAGGCAATCTGTAGTTTTCGATTTTGGAAGTGAACCAGTTTTAGTAAAACATTTGTGCGTTGATGTGGTACCCGTGACTGACGTTGATAGAATTAAAGAAATTCGTAAGGTTGGTAAAATTCGTGGAATTTGGGTAAAAAATGAAAATTTTCCATGGAGTATCACGCATATTTTTTTTTTTTTTTCTTTAAACGATTAGGAACTCACGCTGTCATCATCTGAAAGATGGGATTCGGAAAATTCCGATGTTGTAATTTTCACATCGCCCGTTCTTCAGTTGGTCGGATCTCCGGGAACGGTTGCCGAAGATAGCGAAAAAGAAAAACAATTATTACAATATTATTCAACCCCTAGAGCGGATACATTTCAATTAACACAATCGACCGTTTCGGAAAAAAAATTAACGAAAAATAATTATAGAGATCGTATGCATGAATTGTTGTACGTTGAAGAAATGGCGCGGTACGAACAAGTGAGTGAAAAAAAAAAAATTATTTTTTGTAAAAAAAATTTATGTGTGTGTGCAAACACGTAAGAAAAAATTTTTTTTGTTTGTCTTTTTGCGTAGGTTGCCAGGTATAACTTGACGACAAAATTACACATAGTTAATTGTTATTTACTAGCATCGAATGGAATGGCGAATAGTACGGCAAAATACGCTCATAACGGTGAACTATTTGCACTCATGAGTTTAGGAAAAGATATTTCGGAAGATACGTCAGCCGGAAGACTTATTTTAAATAATTGTTCGACTGTGTTATTGACCGCATCAAAAAGTACTACCAAAGGTATAATAATAAAGACGGGGCGGCAACCTTTTAGCATCCGTTTTTTTTCGAAAAAAAAATTTTTTTTTTTTTTTTGTCAGGAAAAAATCAACCGAGTCCGGTGGAAACGATTCCCATTGGTGATATAAAAAAGGGTAAAAGAACAGTATACGAAGCTTTAATTGAAGACAAAGGGAAAAATATGATTTATTTGAGATTGTCGTCGGCATCGGTGACCGCTCTCAAATTAAAACCAGATTCTGATTTTTTTTGCGAAATACAATTTCAATTAAATAGAGTTCCTTATTGCGAATGGCATTACGCGATCGATAAAATATCCGATTATAAAATTATATTTCCCGATACGTATTTAGAGCCGAACATTCCGTGGACGCCTCAAAGGTGAGTCAAAGGTGTAAGGTGGGTTCGGTCAAATTTGTAAGTTGCTAACGAAAATTCTTTGCATTGCAGACAGTGGACCGATATAATAGATTCTAGGTTAAATTTAAAACAAAGAGAAGCGGTTGTTGCCATAACGACACCGATTTCAACTGCTCTTCCTCCAATTCTAATTATAGGTAAAATTATTATTATTATTATTATTAACACGCATCGGGGATCGTTAAAAAAATAAATTCGTTAATTTTTTTGTTAGGTCCTTTCGGCACGGGAAAAACGTATACTCTTGCCCAAGCTATAAAACAATTATTAACGCAACCCGAAGCGAAAGTTTTAGTTTGCACTCATTCAAACAGCGCTGCCGATCTTTACATTAAAGATTATTTGCATCCGTATGTTGAAGCGGGTCACGAAGAAGCCAAACCTTTAAGAATATATTATCATAAAAGATGGGTTGCAACCGTTAATTCTGTCGTACAAAAGGTGACACACGATTAATATCGAATTTAAAAAAAAAAAAAAAAAAAAAAAATTTCAATTTTATATACGAAAAACGTAAAATTTTTTTTGTGCAGTATTGCCTTATTGAAATGGTTAACGGAATTAGAACTTTTAAAATTCCTACGTTAGAAGATATCGTTAAACATAGAATCGTAGTGGTCACGCTTAGCATATCCATGTACCTTTCGACGCTCGGACTGAAAAAGGGTCATTTTAGTCACATATTGTTAGATGAAGCGGCTCAAGCCATGGAATGCGAAGCTATCATGCCTTTGGCTTTGGCCAACGGAAATACTAGGATAGTTCTCGCAGGGGATCACATGCAACTTAGCCCGGAATTATTTTCGCAATTTGCTCGAGAGCGAAATTTACACGTTTCCCTTCTCGAAAGGCTCTACGATCATTATCCCGCCACGTTTCCGTGTAAAATTCTTCTATGTGAAAATTACAGAGCTCACGAAGCCATAATAAATGTTGGTATTCGTTTTAAAAGAAAAATTTTTTTCTTATTATTATTATTATTATTATTATGTTCGATTTGTCATTTTTTTTTTTTTTTTTTTTTTGTCAAATTTAGTTTACGTCTGAACTTTTCTACGATCAAAAATTAGTAAGTTCGGGTAAACAGCCTCGTCACGAAAGATTTTACCCCCTAACGTTTTTCACAACACGGGGAGAAGATGTACAAGATATCAATTCCACGGCTTTTTACAATAATTCCGAAGTGTACGAAGTCGTCGAAAGAGTTTCCGAACTTAAAAAAAGATGGCCTTCAGCGTGGGGAAAATTAGATGATCAGAGTATAGGAATCATGACTCCGTATGCGGATCAAGTTTTTCGAATTAGGTCCGAGCTTAGAAAACGACGAATGGGTGGAATTTCCGTTGAAAGAGTTTTAAACGTTCAGGGTATGTTAAGCGCGGTGTGACTTTATTAAAATTGTTCAGCATAAATTACAAAAATTACACGTGACGCATGATTTTTTACAGGTAAACAATTTCGGGCAATATTTTTAAGCACTGTTAGAACTCGTAGAACTTGCGTGTGCGACATTAAGGGAGAAGAAAGTAACAAAATAGACTACGGATTTTTATCCAATTCTAAACTTCTTAATACGGCCATAACGAGAGCTCAAAGTTTGGTTGCCGTAGTCGGGGATCCCGTAGCACTTTGTTCCATAGGCAGATGCAGGTAAAACGATCGAATTTACTATTAATGCTTTCTTAAACATTTGATAACGATTAATAAATATACGCCGCGTTGACGCTGCAGGAAAGTATGGGAAAGGTTTATCGAGATATGCAACGAAAATAAAAGTTTGTTTGGAATCACGTGGTCTTTGTTGAGGAGTCAACTCGATGGAGTCGAATTGAAAAAAACTTACACGTTAAATCCGCTTGCCCCGGAATTCGTACCTCGTTCATTTCACGTAAATATGACGTTTGATGTACTCGCAAGTAAATAATTAAATTGATGATAAAGTAATTTTTTCTCTCTCTCTCTCTCACAGAATGAATCGTATATAAAATTACCATCGTTACTCGGAAGTTACGGTCAAGGAATGGTACCGCCAAGATTTCCAGGTCCACCTTACATTCATCCTCCCGTACCTTACCCGGTTTATTACTATTCTAATCCTAATCAACCCGGACCAATATATCAAGTGCGGCCTAATGTTCCTTATCATTTGAATGCGACTAATCCTTGGGCGGGATTCCCGGCTTCATCTCCTACGAATGCGCTCGGTAATCCTAATTGGAATCTCAATATAAAGAAAAAATCTCCAGAAATTCGTAAAGATGATGTTAATGTTTTAAGTGAGTTTTACAAAAAAAAAAAACTTTTTTTATCGTAACAATGAAATTTGTTTCAAATTATTATTATTATTATTATTATTATTATTATCATTAGATTTGGGTCACGATCACAAAGGGCCTGATATAAAGCCGGTTTTATCGTCAATGGAAGGCATAAATCCTCAGGGTCCTCAAAATTTAATGTTAGAAAATTATTTAGGAGTTCGACCTAATCCGATTCCGCATCATTCCAGTAAGTCATTTAATGTGGTCTAGCGTTAGTTGTGAAAGTAATTTATTAATATTTGAATCACGTTCGAACAGATATAGAAGGATTAGGAGATCAACACATACAAATTCATTCGAAGCAACAACCGCATCAAATTCAACAACAACCTCAACAAACTTCACTGATAAGACCCCTTCACCTGGATAAGCCCGAACAAATACAATTTTTAAACAATGTTCATTTTCCCGAAAGGCATTTTCCAAGATCTCAAACTCAGCCTGGAGTTATATCGAACGCGCCTGCGGACTGGCAAAATTTACTTCCTCCGAACACTTCATTAGCGGACGTTTTAGAATCCCGAGGTCTTCAAATGGATTGGTATAGACATCTATTAAATACGGCAGGAATAGAAATAGCGAGTAGATTTAGGGATTTGGTCCTTCGTTCGAGTAGAAAACAAAATCCTTCGCCCGAAGTTAATAGAGCAATGGATGATTTGTTCGGAGATAAATCTCTTCCTCCTTTCCCATTTTTAAACGGTTTACCTCCGAAAGCTCAGGTAATTTTTGAGTTTCGATTCTCATAGGGATAATTAAAGGGATGAATCGAGGGGTTGATTTTGAAAAAAATTTAATTTTTTTTTATTATTATTTTAGATGCCGCCTCACGGTTTAAACGAAGGGATGAGAATTCAAGAAAATGGGGATATAATGAATCACGGAGGTCAAATAAATCGCCCGTTAAAATTAGCCACGAAACCATTTTTACTACAAGATTTGGAAGCGGCCATGTTGCTTTCCGCGAGCATACAACAAACTCCTCTCATAACAAACAACGTCGAACCTTTACCTCTTACTCAGCAACACAGATTCGAACCTGCCCACGATTTAGTCATACAAAATTCTCCGTCCATGCCCTTGTACAGACGTCAACCCACACAAAATCCCGAAACAACAATGAATCCCGTCAATAGAAATTTACCCGAGGAAATCAACGTCGAACAATTTTTAAACAATTTCAACATGATTCATTTGAATTCGAAAGCATGGGAATTGGATAAGGTTCAGTCGGAATTGAAAGTCATCAACCGGGACATGTACATAAACAACATGCAAGAAATGGATTACAATGTAAATAAAAATCAACCGATCCAAGTAACCGGAAATGACAAAATAAATGGGAATCAAATGCCGGGATTTGCAAATTTTTCGAGAGCCATGTTTCAACCTCCGCCCCGTCATTTGGCACCCGCTCCCGTCACGGAAAGTCCCTACATAAACGATTTTCATTTGAACGGGAGAGAGCAAGACATTGACGAGTCCGCGACGACGAGGCACAGCAACATAGAAACGACTTACGCAAGCGTTCTCAGAGCTCAACCGACGAAAAATCAAAGACCGGAAGAAGAAAAAATCGGGGATCCATTCGGAATATTAAAAGATTTAGCTAATTCAAGTTCATCGCGAAGAAATAACGGTCTTTATCAATATTTTTCATAAAAACAAAACAAAACAAAAAAAAAAAAAAAAAAAACACAAAAACACAAAAACAAAACAAAAAACGAAAAAAAAAAACCCAAAAACAAAAAAAAAACAAACAAACAAACAAAAAAAATTATTATTGTTTCTACCATAAGAGAACAAGAAAAAAAAAAAAAATATTTTGTACATAATAATAATAATAATTTTTTTTTTTTCTATCTATCTATCTACTTCTTAACTTTTCTATAAAATTGGTTTTTTTTTTTTTTTTTTCTCTCCCCCCCTATTAAAAAAAAATGTAGGGGGGATAAAAATAATTAAGGGTGGTAAAAAAAAAAAAAAAATTAATAATAACTAGCATTTTCACTTACTTTGTCAAATTTTGTTTTTTTTGACGGTTCCGAACGAAAGTTTTTAATTTTTTTTTTTTGTAAATATTAAATGTAATTTTTCAAGTTATTCCCGCCCAAAAATGAAAAAAAAAAAAAAAAAAAAAAAATTTAATTTGAGTGAGTGAAATTATTTAAATATTGATATACATAGAAAGCTCTTAAAAAGCCGAATGTGTATATATATATAAAATTATTTCTTACTCAAAAAATAAATAAATAAATAAATAAAAAAAAATAAAATTTTATAAAAAAAAAAAATTTATAAAAAAAAAAAAAAAAAACAAAAACAAAATTTGATTTATGATTGATTGGTCGTATGTAAAGTGAAAAATGTTTAATTACTAAAAAGAGAAAGAGAAAAAGTTAATCGATATGTGATTAGTTAAAAAACTAATTAAAAACCCATAATAATAATAATAATAATAAATGAATGAATACAATATCGAATGATAAAAGTTGGGAGAAAAAAAAAATGAAATTAACTGCCCAAATTAATGAATTTTCATTTAAAAAAAAAAAAATTATAAACTTTGCCAACTCGATTATTATTATTATTATTATTAAAAATTAAATTTAAAAAAAATTAAATTTTCCCGTTTTTTTTTTTTTTTTTTTTTTTTTTGTTTACTATCGATTTTAAAAAAGTAATAAAAAAAAGGGAAAATTTAACAAAATAATAATAATAATAATAAAAAGCATGTTATAAAAAAAAAAAAAAAAATTATTTTGTTTAAGTCGTGTAACGTTAATTAAAACTCATGATGATGATGATGATAATAATAAGTGTAAGTGGTGAAAGAATTATATATTATTGTACAGTGTATGTATGAACGCGTGAGTGTGCGTGTGCGTGTGTGCGCGTGCGCGTGTGTATGAGATTATGGGTGTCCTTATTATATAATATTTACATTTATTTCACATTGAAATTTACATATATATATATATATATATACCAGACGATCAATTTACTTTTTTTTTTTTCCCGCAAATAGATAAAAACAAATGTTATCAGTAACCGTTTTTTCTTTTTCTTTTTAAAAAAATAATAATAATAATAGTAATTTGATTGTATGCATAAAACTTTAAGTAAAATAATAATGAATAAATAAAATAAAAATTCGAACCAAAATTAATAATTTTTTTTTTTTATTCTTTTTATCTATATTATGTAAGCTATTATTATTATTATTATTATTATTATTATTATTATTATTATTATTATTATTATTATTATTATTAATTTTTCTTTTTTTTAATTATTATTATTATTATGGACGATTCGATTTATTGATAACGATCAACCCGAGCTAGTAAAAAAAAAAATATATATAAAAAAAATATAAATAAATATAAAATATTTGTTTTTACGCAAAAAAAAAAAAATAAATAAATAAATAAAAAATTTATGAAAAAATATTAATAAAAATAATGTATATTTAATCGATATTTTTAACGGTATCATAATATTATTATTATTTGTTTAAAATGATAATTGTTGTATTATCGAGGGGGGAGGCCCTAAACCTTCCAACAAAAAAAATATAAAAAAAAAAAAAAAAATGTAATTGTAGGAAAACTCTTATTAAAAGAAAATTAGTGTTACTTTATTAATTAGTAAAGTTTACTCTAAAAAAAAAAAAATTGATAATGATAATGATAATAAAAAAAATTGATTTATTATCGATTAATTAATTTCTATTCGCTTTTTTTTATTTTATTTTATTTTATTTTAAATTTGTAACGAATGGAATTAATAATAATAATAATAATAATAATAAAGAATATTAACCTCAAGTATGTTTTATATATATAAATTTAATTTAGAGTGTAATTATTCGAAATTGAAACTATCATTAAAAATTTATAAAATAATAATAATAATAATAATAATAATAATAATAATAATATCGATAAATAAATGTATTGAATTAATTCACAGAAAAAAAACTTTTTTTTTTTTTAATATATATATATGAAAACAAAATTAAACGCGAAAATTTAAATAAATAATTATATATATATATATATAAATATAAATTTAAAAATTGTAAAAACTATTTGAAAAAATAATAATAATGATAATAAAAAATAAATAAATAAATAAAAATTAAACAAAATAAAATAAAATAAAAAATTTTTCAAATGTTTTGAATGAATGAATGTATGAATGAATGAAATGTATGTAATTGTATATAATCGGAATATATGAAATAAATAATATCCATAATAATAATAATAATAAATAAAAATAAATAAAAAAAAACAAAAAAAAAAAAAAAACGTATGACGATAATTAAAAAAATAAATAAATAAATATATATATAAATATTATACACACACACAATAATTAATTGTAAATATATATTAAATTTACGTTTAAGTATTTTTATTATTATTATTATTATTAACTAGCTCGGGTGATTGCAGTAATTTTTTTTTTTTTTTTTTTTTTTAATAAAAATGATAATAAACATTACGAATATATATGTATGTATATCTTTAAATGATGATAAAAAAAAAAATTCAAAAAAAAATTTAAAAAAAAAAAAAAGAAAAAAAATTATAAAATTATCTCACTGTTGTTTAGCTATTAATAATATTATTATTATTATTATCATTATCATTACTATTATTACTATTATTATTTTATAATTATTATTATTATTAATTTTTGTTTTATTTTTTACGGGCATATATATTTAGCATTGTCGGTAATTTTTTAATTTTTATTATTATTATTAGTTTAAAAAACGTATATCTATCTCTCTCTGACGACGTGGATTTATTTTTTATAACGACACTATTATTATTATTACTATTATTAATATAATTATTATTAAAAATTGTTTTGTTTTTTGCC